ATCGCTTCACGACCCGTCAACATTAGAATTTCATTCTGGGCGTCCTGTTTCAACCTGCACATCTGGGCGGACAAGACGGATCGCCTGCGCTGGCAGGCTCCATCTTCAACGCGCCCTTGTCGCATCCCCCCTGGAATCTGATGCGACGAGCACGTCGATTCGAGCGAAGCGCCCCGAATCAATCGGGCCGGACGGGCCCGAGGCTTCCACGATCCAGGGCTGAGCTCCTGAAACGCGAGGCGAAGTCGAAGAAATCGCACGGGCGGTAACCTCCGCGCCCGGAGCTCTGGAACTGGCCCCAGCTTCACCGCCGCTGCCCGACCTGCGCGCCGCCAACGATCAAGTGGGCCAGGCGGCGGCGGAGGAGCATGTCCCCCGCGGCCGCCCCCGCGAGGTGGTCCATCGAATCTGGCGACAGAGCGGCGGTTGTCGCCACCCCCGCCACCTTCATGTTCAGGACCCCCCCACCACCGCCCCCATCGCACCTGCTTGAACTGGGCTCGCGGGGGGGGCGGCCGAGGCGCCCGACGCCCTCGGGGGGCCCAACCACCAAAGGACCAGGCGCAGGCGGAGGCTGCCGCGATAATACTGCCATTGCGGGAAGCAGAGGAATCCTAGCCAGCGCCCCTTCCAGGGTAGCAATGGGCGCCAACTCCTCGGCCTCGCGTCGCTGCGGCGGCGCAAGGACGAGCTTCGTGTTCTTCGATCAATTTCTCACTTCATCTTCCCCAGCGCGTCGTTTCCCATGCATATTCAATTCAGGATCTCATGTTATTCCTTTGTGGAAGCGGCGTGGGGAAGGGTCGCGCCGGCCTCCAGCTGGCGAGACGCCCTCTGTTTCTCGTCTTCCTCCGACCGTTTCTTATCAGCTTCGGCTCTGGCATGGGCCCCCTTCTAAGCAGAAAGAGCGCGCCCATTATTGCCGGCGTCGACATGGGCATTGCAGCGCGGCGCGCCACGCCAATCGCAGCTTCCCCGAGCAAGCGTCAAACCAGAATCGCGCTTCTCCAGCGGTAGTCCGCCCCTCCCCCCGGACGCTCGCAACCGCGGGCGCTCGGTATCCTCCGGGGCAGCCCCTTCCCCGCTGCCAACCGACTGAGTCAGGGCAGCGGCGGGGTCACCGACAAAAAAAAGCGCCAGACGCCCCCAGGGCGACTCTGATGGCTATGCCCCAGAGTCTGTCCGACCGGATGCCCCAGCACCTTGGGCGGCCGAAGGATTTTGACCGACGCCCCGAGTTGAACCTGAAGCGCCGCCGTCGCCCCTCGCCCCCCGCCCTTCCTGGGCGCGTTCCAACTCGAAAAACTGACACTTGATTTGGGCGCTTTCTTGCCCGATCATGTCTTCTTCGATTTCCCGGCTTCGTCACTGGCGGCCTGCTTCCTGAGGAACGCCTGCTGGATGGCGGCGTTTGCCCTCTCCCTCCCCCGCTGCGCTATGCCGTCAGCCTGGGCCGTTCTTCCATGGAAAACCACCGCCGCCCTCTGATCGGAAACAGATTCGCCCGGTCAGGCCTGTTCTACGTATTGTTGCACATGGCGTTCTTTATCTGCCTCGCTGGCTCCTCAGTCCTCGGTTTCTCTGCCTCAGCTGACTGCGGAGACAGGAACTGCCTCCGAAGTCGCCTGTTGAGCGAGATGGGCGTTCTGAGCAATCGGCATCAACCATTCTTGCACTTGCTCGAACATGGCCATCCGATGTCTCACCTAAGCTGTTCACTGGGAAATTGTTCTTCCGCAGCGGCCCCGGTCCGTTCCTTCTGTCGCCATGCCATGATCATGGGACGCTGGCAGTTATGTGCGTTCGTGCCGACGCAACCCCTACAAAGCCAGCTAACACTACAATGCTTGCATGCGAAAGGGCATATTCCGTACGCTGGCCCACGGCATGGACCGTAATAGAAAACAGACTAGTCGGTGAATTCCCAGAAGGACTACCGGACCCTCTACTGTCCGATGCGACCTATCACGGGCGAGCCGTGATGCGCATGTCTCGTTGGCGTTGGGGATCTAGGATGAGGGGGCAAAACCTTCGTCTCCATTATCTCCCTTGCGCTGCTGTGGGCTTGAAATCTTGACACTGCCAAGTAAAAGATGTCCTCTGCGACCCTTTCTCAATCACGAACTATGCGGCATTGAGCCACCACTGCGCGGACTCCAATTAAACTGGGAATCGGCATTGGTGCGTCATCTACCTCCATACTACTATCGGACAGCAATGCCGATATTTTCGGGAAAAGCGCATCTCCGGTCGGATCCACAGGATGCTCGAATGAGTTGAGGTCCTGAGGGCTTAGTACGTCAACTGGCGACTGGGATATTCCCGCCAGAGCTGTTTCCCCAAATGAGTGCGCTTGGGATACCAGAAGAATCATACAACCACCCCCTGCAGTCCAGCGCTCTCCTGATTCAAAGACGCGATCGGCAGCTAGACGACTGGTTAAACTGGCAGCCTCGCATGCAACGTTACGTGAATCAGCTGTCAACGACGGGCTCAGTGAACGAATCTCGGAATCTATGAGTGCGGCTAACTCCCCATCGAAGTCCGATTCCGTATTACCCCTCGATATGTTGGCATCATGACCGGGCGTGTGCACGAAGAGCATTTTTATTGGCACCATGAGCTGTATCCCGCCATATGGCTGAGTGACCAAGAAAACTATTACGAACAGAACCAGAGCGTTCGGCTGATAACCAATTACGCATCAGAACCCCAACAGATTCTGACAGTCAACGGTATGTTATACTGTCTTACTGTGGTACTCTGATATCCGCCCCCAATGGCTGGATCGTGAGCATGTCTACGTGTGCGCCCGACCCAAAGGGAGCGGGAGGCGGGCGCTCTTTTCTCACTTCACAGCCCAAACAACTGCAGATCCGATACACCAACATCCACGACGGCCGGCAGCGGCCAGCGGGCAAGCGGCGGCAAGGACGCGGCGGCGGCGAGAGAGGGCATGAAAGGAACCGCATTAACTCGAAATCCTTATCCTCCTACTTCTCCTGCCCCCCTCCTGCGAAATTAAAGGCAACCAAGATGTAGACTCTGCGTGCGCCGGCACGGGCGAGCACTTCAGAGCTCTTGGGAATTTGTCTTGACACCCAGTTTTTATTGGGGCCCTCCTGGGGCGTGTTGGACACCTCTTGGGGATCCTTCGGCGGGACAGTTAGACAATCATGAGGCCCCATTGGGCCCTTGTTGGTCAGCAGTTGGAGGACCCCTGAACCCTTTGTAAGCGGACCAAGGTTAAGAAGCCCATGGTATCAGGGACAGGGTTTTTTTCAGCAGATGTATCGACATAGACATCCCATATGATGTTATCACGATAGCGCAACAATGGGGACCTAAATTGCAGCCAAAACTGATAGTAAGGACGCGCGGTAAGGATGCAAGGGCCTTGGACTCCCATACCGTGGCTCTTCGAGCTTGGCTGGCCATCGAAAAGTGGTTGAGGATGGACCGAAGATGGCCGCAGAGGCAAGAATGCAAGGGTACCCTTGGGAAGTCGTGAATCCTTACTATCGGTTTTGACTGTAGGCTGCGTTCGCCTTGTGTTACTAAGGCTGGAGGTTCTTTGTTAGAGGCCCCCTAGATGGGGTCCAAACAGATGGGGTCGGGGGATCTCGCCGCTTCGCCGATACATCGGCGATGCATCGCCGATGCATCGGCCTGGCGACGTCGGCGATGCATCGGCGACGTCGGCGTGGCGAAAATTGGGCCCCGTATCGAGCCGCATCGCCCATGCATCGCCGATACATCGCCGATGCGTCGCCGATGCATCGGCGATGAGGCGCCATCCTTCGACCCCATCTACCCCGACCCCATCCAAATGGCTTAGATCTAGGTCGGGCATGTCCTCCTGCAGGCGGATCTTGGACGAAACATAAAAAACTAGTCGAGACATCGTTCCCAGAATTTGTTTTGTCAATGTTTGCGTACTCCTCCAGCAGAGGGGCATGCCCGACTTCATCTTTGAAGGGAAACTGGGACACACAACTATATAGACACAAATAATCAGATTCACCATATTTTCCTATTTTGTTGTGTCTGTGTCTTCCCCCCCACTACCTATATTTTCTTATATTTTCTGGGGAATCGACGATTCATTGTGTCTGTGGGTTTTTGTCCCTCCTGGATCTTGGATTTGTTCCCGCCGACCTGCAGGGCCGTCCTGCGGCCCCGCGGGGGCCCCCGCAGGCCGCCCGGCGGCCTCGGAGGGAGCCCGCGGGCCCGAGCCGGAGAGCCCGGAGGAGCGAGCACGCCTGGCACGGGTGCTGCAAAACGCGGCGGCGAACGCGGGCGGAAGCGAACGCCGTTCAGCTGTGCCATGGCATGACACCTCCGCGCGTGGCTGCCGGCCGCAAGGCGGGGCAGGCTGCTCGAGCTCACAGGTCAGGGAACTTCCCACCAGACGTGGGCGGGTGCCCGCGCCTCAAGCGGCTGAGCACATCTTGGGCCAGCACGCGTGGGCGCATCGGCAGTCTGCCCGCAAGGGACGACTTGAAAAGGAGCGGGCCTTCTCAGAAGGCTCGGAAGTCCCCTAGCCTTCTGAACAGGTTCCGAAGCCTTTCCCGATGACGCAGAGAACCTCTCAGAAGGCGCCAGGGGCTTCTGAGAAGTCCCGCCACCTTCCGAGAAGGACTTCTCTTTCTCAGTGCCCCCCCTCGCTCGACGCCGCGCAAACGCAAGTAAAGTTCGGCACCGCTCGTGTCCTGGTCTCCCTCCTGCTAATTTCTCATCCTCCGTCTTCCTGCTGCTCCTCCTCCATCTCCTCTTCCCCCTCTTCCTTCTCCTTCTCCTAGCGGCTCCGTCCCCAGAAGCGGGGGGAGACGGGCGGCGCGATTCGGAGCCGCGCAGCCGCCGCGGGCCATGGCGTGAGCGGATGCAGCTGGTGATCCACGTCAGCGCGTGCTTCCTCTCAGAGCAGCTAGGCACCCGAATCGGGGACTTCTGCAAAGGTTTTCGGGCTGTTCAACAGGCTGACGTTGTTGTCTGCGCGGATGGCGTCGCCTGGCGCCCCTGGCAACACTGGCAAGCGGAAGAACCTCCCTGCCCCCTCAGTCCTCAAGGAGCGGGCGCGGAATCGCAAGCTCTTCGAAGAGGCCAAGGAGGAGAAGTGGCTGCGCTCAGAACTCTCGGGGGAGCAGCACGCAGCCAAGATCGAGTCGGCGCAGTTCAAGGACAACCTCCAGCTGGACCTGGAGCTGATAGTTTCCTGGCCAGAACTGAAGGCCAAGATCGAGGAGGAGTTCAATCGCAACCAAAGCCTGAGCTCCATGGTTGCGGAGGACCCGGTGGCTGGACCTTCACCGCCGCAGGTGAAGGAGCTGGACTGCGAGGAGGCGAAGATCAACGAGGAGAGCATCCCGCCCTCAGCCGAGGGCTCGCGGATGCAGCTCAACATGAAGATGGGCACCAATCTGGAGGGCTTCCGGGGGGAGGACATCCAGAAAGAGAAGGCCGACGAAATGGCAACCGAGGTGCACCAGCCCAAGAAACGGGTTCCTTGGGTGCCGACGTCGGCCTACCTGTCCAACACGAAGTGCTACGTGAAGATGTGGAGGTGCAGGTGCGGCGCGGAGAACCTCGGGTTCCGCAAGACGTGCTACTGGTGCAGCGGAGCACCGCCTCCGGAGACGGTCGAGATGCAACGCAAGCAGAAGGAGGAGATGCTTAGCTTCCCGAGGCCCCCGGACGTGGACGGGGACGCGCCGAAGGTGAGACGTCTCAACAGATGGAACAAGACGTCCTCATGCGCTGGTGGCAAGACGGGAAAGACGCAATTGTGAACGGTGGCGGCGCGGTGGCCTTGAGGGGGCTCGTGGTCAAGCCTGCCTGGACACCCTCAGCGACAAGGTCGGGCTCATAGGAGCGCAGGCCTTCGACATGCGCCCCAGCCGCGTCCCAACCACTCGCGGCAAGGACAATGGCAAAGGCAAGAGCAAGGGCAAGCACAACGGCTTCTGGGTGGAAGGCGTCTTCTACCCTTCGTGTAACGACATCCCTGTGGAGGCTATACGGAGGCTCGCCGTGAAGAGGTTTGGCACCGAGGAGGCTCTCGCGCTGGCCCTCGAAAGGTATTCCTCCTGAGTGCGCCTCCTCTTGGAGGCGGCTGGGGGGGGGCCTCCCCACGCACTGCAGGGCATACTCAGCCTCCAATCGGGGGGCTCGGTGTGCTCTGCCTCGTTTTTGTTGTTCGCTTCGCTTCGGCTCGCCTCTCTCGGTCGTTCGACCCGCCCGTGCGTGGGGGGATCGCCCCCCCTCTTCGGCGCGGCGCGGGCGCGAGGCGGGCCCCCTCGGCCTGCGCGCCAGGGCCCATCGACTGGGGCGCTTCATTCGCATCCTTCGCACCCTTCTCCTTCTCCTCCTTCTTCTCCTCCTTCTCCTCCATTCACCGGGCCCGTCATCACAGCATGTTATTCCTGATCAATTCTACGTTCCTCCTCCTCCTCCTCCTCCTCCTCGTCCGACCCATTATCCTGCTCGCGCTCCTCCTCTCTGTACTCCTCAGCTCGTACCTGCAAACTCGACAACAACATGGTCCACTTCTGGCCTCGACTGACTGGCATATCGAGCTGGTGGCGAGGGCCCTGATGGAAGAAAAGGCGTCGAATGGCAAGCTCGGCAGACGTGACAAACCTCGACTCGCCTTGCAGGCTCGCGGGGCAAGCCGTTCACGTAAGCACTGCCAAACGCGACGGAGCAGCCGAGCACAATCGCGAAAGGTCGAGCGCCACCGAGCCCCTTGCTCTATCAGCTGGCCTACCCTCATCAGGCGCGTGAGGGCGTCCACCATCACGTTGACTGGCAGCCGGCTCGCTTTCACTACTGGACTGGCACCAGTGTAATCAGTGCTCGGGGCCGAGGCCGACGAACATCTCAAGGCTCGGTTCGGCCCGACCAAACGAGGAGCTTGTCCCAGACACCGACACCATGAACTCAGAGACAAAACGGTCGGGTCGGACGAAGATGAAGGTAGTAAAGAGGGGGGTGGCGGCCCACATAGCCGGATACCTGGTACCTCCCAGCGCCGGAGGCGTCAGAGTATCGAGGAAAACGCCCGGCGGCAGGGAGGAAACCAGCTGCACGCAGCAGGAGGGAGGGAGGGAGGGAGGAAGGCAGGGAGGCAGGAAGAGAGGAGGGAGGAGGAGAGAGAAGGGACCAGACGCTGGGTTTCCACTAGGCAAAGTCAGCGCAACAAAACATTAACCAAGTTGGGGGTCTTTTCTCCTTTCCGAACAGTTCAAGTTGTTATGAACCTTCCAAAGCAAAACTTGGCGTTGATGAGCACTGCTTGGAATTGGCTTGGCATAGCTTGGAATCGATGCTTGGCCATGCTTGGCATTGGTTGGCACTGCGTGGTATTGTCTTGCTTTGCTTGGCATCGATTGGCGTTGCTTGGCAGTGTGTGGAACCGTTATGTTGCATTTGCGTTGCATTGTCTTGGCATTGGCTTGGCATTGCTAGGCATTGACTAACGTTGCCTGGCATTGGCTTGGCAATGGCTTGGGATTGTTTTGCGTTGCTTGGCGTTGCGAGGCATTGCTGGGCATTGCTTGGCATTGCCTGACATTGCTTGGCGTTGCCTGGCATTGCTTGGCGTTGCTTGGCGCTGCTTGACAGCGTTTGACAAAGAGCGGCATTAATTTGCAATGCTTCGCATTGCTTGGCGTTGTGCGGCATTGCTTTGCATTGCTCTGAAGTGCTTGACGTTGCTTTGATTTGGCTGTTCTTGCTTCGCGAATCACGTCGCACCCGACGGCGTCCTAACAAGCAAGTAGGGCCTCCTGAAGCAGAGCCTGACTTTGGGGGGGAACAGACAAGGCGGAGGCGGAGGAGGAGGCCACCACCCCCTCCCTGCCCTGCCAGGGCGCCTCAAAGACAGCCCCCATGCACAGTACCTCCTCCTCCTCCTCCTCCTCCTCCTCCTCCTCCTCCTCCTCCTCCTCCTCATCGTCCTCCTCCTCCTCCTCCTCGTCATCATCGTTGTCCTCCTCCTCCTCCTCCTCCTCCTCCTCCTTCTCCCCATCCTCCGCCTCCTCCTTCTGAGGCACACCCGACCGCCCATCGCAGGCAAGGGGGCAGCGCCAGCGGGGGAGGGGGGGGAATCCGCTGGCCCGGGGTCCGAGAGGGCCTCCCGTGGGCCGGACGGAGGAGCGACAGGGGGGGGGCGAGGAGGAGGCGAGGACAACGCGCGGAGGCGCGAGGAAGGCGCTCGCTTCATCCCCCCGCTGGCCCGTCGTCCGTGCAGGCCCAGATGACACACAAGGGCTTCGGCGGTGGACAAACCTCCCTTTAGTAGACCTCCCCTCAACGAAAACGGCCTGGGACCGAAACCGACGGACCTGGACCCGCAAAAATGACGGCCGCGACGCCCTATCGCGAAACGAAAACGGCCGATTCCTCGATCGACGTGTCAGGGTAGGAGGTCTGTCCTCGGGCTGGGCCCCGTGGTCGGACTCCTCCGCCCCCGAGCCGAGCCTCGAAAGGGGGGCCGCCTGGGCCCACCGTGCGAGGCGGGGCGGCGCTGTGCAACAAGGAGCCAGTGCGGAGCGGGCGGCATCCGCCTGCCACCACGCAGGGATGAATGGGCCATGGGACACACAACTAGATACACACAGATGAAAAGGATGCCCCATATTTTCCCCAATTTTCTGGGTTTCCGTCTTCCCCCCCCACTACCCATCTTTTCCCACATGTTCTGGGGAATCGACGATTAATTGTGTCTGTGTGTTTTTTCTCTTCCTGAAAGGAGGATGCAAGGGGAGGAGGAGGAAAGGGGAGGAGGCGGAGCGTGAGGGAGGAGTCCCGATCCGAGGAAAGCCAGCCCGCCATCCCCAGCTTCGCGTGCCTCCCTTGACGATCGCGTCGAGGCGGCTCACGCTGAGGAAGTGCCTCTGACGCCTCCTAGTGGGGAGGCGAGTGGCTACTCGAACACCATCTGCCAGAGCCTGGGCATAATTAGGAGGAGAAAAGAGGAGGAGAAGGAGGAGGAGGGAGGAGTGATGGAGGGAGAGGGGAGGAGGACAAGTCCGGGGCCCGCGGCGTCCAGGCGGTCCGACTGGGAGGAGGAAGATGAGCGGGATTCGCTGGCGCCGCTCCCGTCTGGAGAGAGAAAAAGAGAGGGGGGGAAAACAGACAGAGAGGAGAGAAAAAGAAAGAGAGAGAGAGAGAAAGAGAGAGAAAGAGAGAGGAGAAAAGGAAAGATGATAGAGAAGAGATACTACACGATATGCAAGAAGGAAGATATACATAATATAAAATAAGGAAGAGAGACGAGGGAAGAGCGAAGAGGGAAGCGAAACGAGAAAAGCGAGAGGGAGAGAGAGAGGATATAGAGAAAGAGAGGGAGAGAATAGAGGGCACGACAGGGAGAGATTGGACAACAACAACAGAAATGAAAAGAGACTGGTAAAGGGCAAGAGAATATAGAGAGACATTTGCCGCTGAGTCCTTTTCTCCCTTCGATGCGGGAGCGCGCCTCTCTGGGGAGGCACCTCAACCACAGCCTCACCTGCCTCACCTGCATCAAAGGCTCTACGCATCAGGGGTATGGTCGGGAACCTTTGCTCAACGTGTCGCTCAACGTGGTGGGACAGATCCCGGCGGTGCGACACGCTCAGCAAACTCTCCTGACCATATGGAAGTGCAAAGGGAGCCAGGACCCGGACGGGCCTGTGATATAGTCGCTGTCATCCTCGATGTTGTGCAAGTGCTCCTCGGGATAGCCGTCCTCTACAAGGTTCCCAGGCAGCTTGACGGACCACCAGTCCTTGGGAAAGAGGAAGAGGCATGACGATATGAATATGAACAATGCACATAAGTGACCGTAAACTTTCGGAGGCCCGCACGGAAGCATTGGATTGGAACCTAGAACCCTCTGGCGCGTTCCGCGCGCTAGTAGGGAGAGGGGCCCAGCGCCGATCCAAGGAACCCGCGCGCGGTCACAATTTCGGACATGTGTTCGGTCACCGATTGTTCTCTGTCACTTAAACTTTCGGCTGATGGGGGCCGGGCGCCATGACACGGGGAAAACAAACCGGAAGAGAGAACACAACTGGAGGGAGGAAACGTCACCGCCCCCTCCCTCCCCTGTCTCGTCCCTCCCCTCCCCTTCTTCGTCCCCCTCCCTCCACTAGGTAACCTGACTTCGCGCATCGAGCCCCCGCGATGCGCGACGCACGGCGAACGTCGCGCCCTCGCGAGCGCCCTCCTCCTCCAGCTCCTCCTCCTCTTCCTCCTCCCCCCTCCTCCTCCTCCTCCTCCTCCTCCTCCTCCTCCTCCTCCTCCTCCTCCTCCTCCCCTCCTTCCATGTCCTCCTCCTCCTCCTCCCGTCCTCCTCTCCCGCCCCCCGGCGCCCTCGACCACGCCTACGTGTTGCCCGCGGAGTGCGGACTTGACCGCGGGTCGGCTCTCCAACTGAACGACGATCTTGCACGGGCCCTGCGCGAGATGACATGGCGACCTCACGTGGAGGACTGCGCGGGCCGCCGGCGCGGCACGCCACATTGAAGACGAGGGCGCTTGCGCGCGGCCTTGCGCGGGGAGCTTACGCGCCAACGTCGGTGCAGTTGGACGAGTTTTTGTTCGTCGCCCGCCTTGTCCTGCAGGAACCAGCCACCCTTTAGGCTGCGCGTGCCGCCAGTACAGTATTGGAGACCTGGGCCGAAGCCCTCCTGTGGGGCTGCCCGGCGAATAATGGCCAAGGATGGGTCGAAGGGGCAAGGATGCAAGGGCAAGTTGCCCTCGGCAAAATACTCATCCCGATGACCATGTTTGACTGTATCATCCTTGATGAAAGGTTTCCCAATACGTCGCAGGTGGCGTGTCTACTGGGGCTGATGGATCCGCGGGGTAAGAGGCTTCGTCACAAATCTAAGAACATAATGCCATCGTCGAGGAGATGCCTCCGCTTCTTCGAGAAGCGTTGCCGCCGACAGCGCGAGAGCACGACCTCGTGGCGCGCGGAGTCGAGAGCACAGTGCCTCGTGGGAATCTGCCTCTGCCGAAGCGAGAGTACGTCGCAGCGTGCTCCTGGGCCGTGCCGTGCCGGCGGGGAGGGAGGCGGCGATGCGGCCTGAGGCAGCAGAGGAGTACGATACTGTGACATTGCGCAATCTATATTTCATTACAGCGGAGCACGAACAAGTACAAGCATGGCCTCCTCTCCCCATTATCCCCCCTCCTTCTGAGGAGCCATCCCCTATCCAACATTTAATGTTCACCGCGTGCACGTTCTCCCCATCAGGCATGCCGACGTGCCACGCAGGCAAAAGGCGCAGGATGCCACGAGTCCCCGTCTCGATGGTCCACAAGCCCGCGAATGTAGACGCCCCCGTGGGCCGCGTCGACCATGCCTCAGGAGAACATGCTTTGCCATAACAAACAACATATGCTGCCCGAGGGAACTGCAGAAGCATGGCACGCCATCTCAGACTGCAGCTTCCACGACAAGCTTGAGAGACTGAGACACGAGGAATTCCAAAGCGGGACACGAAAAGCGCTGAACGAACAAGTCGGACGGAGAGCTCAACCGCGTGAACCAGAACCCACCTGTTCAGCGAAGAAGCTCAAGGATAACACAACTCCTAGAGATAGGTCGGGCATGTCCTCCTACAGGCGGATCTGGCGAATATACGTAGCACCCCGCAATTGCGGATAAGAATGAGGGGGCGGGCGCGGGCGACGCGGGCGTCGTCGAGCCGGCGGACCTCGTGGCCCCCACCTTCCTTGTCGATGGCGCACTCCTCCACCTCCTCCTCCTCCTTCTCCTCCTCTTCCTCCTCCTTCTCCTCCTCCTCTTCCTCGTCCTCATCGTCATCGTCATCCTCCTCCTCCACCTCGTCCTCCTGCTCCTCCTCCTCGTCTTCCTCGTCCTCCCTCTCCCCCCCTCGTCTTTTCATCATGGTCCTCCCATTGTCGTCCTCCCCCTCATCGGCCTCCATCATCGTCCTCCCATTGTCGTCCATCATCATCATCATCATCCTCCCCATCCTCCCCCCCTCGTCCTCCTCCTCCCCCTCCTCCCCCTCGTCCTCCTGCTCCTCCTCCTTTTCTTTCTCCACGTTCTCCTTACATCCTCTCTTCTCCCACGTTCTCCTCGTCCCCTGTTTACTCATCCTGCCTCCCCCTCCTGTCCCAAGATAACTGCAACGCAATCCTTTTTTCCACTTTATGCTCCCCGCCTTCTCTGATCAAGGCAACTCGCCAGGGCAAAGTTGCTGGACGGGCTGGCGTGGATGCGCGGGGCGTGAAGAGGTCCTTGCGGGCTCAGACGGCATGCAAGAATCCGCCGCCGCGCTGGTGCGGCATTGGTTTGTTCAATGAACGTGGTTTAGGTCGCGGGTGGGTCGCGGGCTCTCCACCTCCACCTGGAAGGAATGCAAAAGCAGCCCGCCGCAAGCGCCAAAAAAAATGGCTTGTACACGGAACGAGGTTTGGGTCGCAGGTGGGCCGCGGGTTCTCCACAGGGAACGAATGCAAAAGATGCCCGCCGCAGGCGCCGAAAATGTGGTTTGTACCCTGAACGTGGTCGCAGGCGCCGAAAAATGTGGTTTGTACCCTGAACGTGGTTTGGGTCGCGGGTTGGTCGCGAGTTGGTCACGGGATGTGTCGCGGGCTCTCCACCTGGAAGGAATGCAAAAAAGCCCGCCGCAGGCGCCGAAAATTGTGGTTTGTACCTTGAACGTGGTTTGGGTCGAAGGTGGGTCGCGGGTGGGTCGCGGGGTAGGTCGCGGGTGGGTCGCGGGTGGGTCGCGGGTGGGTCGCGGGTGGGTCGCGGGGTCGGGCCGCGGGGGGGTCGCGGGGTGGGTCGCGGGGTGGGTCGCGGGGTGGGTCGCGGGGTGGGTCGCGGGGTGGGTCGCGGGGTGGGTCGCGGGTGGGTCGCGGGTGGGTCGCGGGTGGGTCGCGGGGTGGGTCGCGGGGTGGGTCGCGGGTGGGTCGCGGGGCGGGTTGCGGGTGGGACGACGACAACAAACAACAACAAACAACAACAACAACAAACAACAACAACAACGAGAATCCGCACCGCGGAATTCCACATCAGCCACGCACCCAGGGACAGTGAATGACCGTTCGGCCCCCTCACTCTGATTAATAATAGTTAACACATGCTACAACAAAGCCAAACATAGTTGAAACAAATCGTCCCCAGACTTGTTTTGACTATCTTTGAATACTCTCCTGTAGAGGGACGTGCCCGACTTAACACACATCCTACGGAGTCACTGTGCTGCCGTGAGGGGCGCTGCCAGGAACGAATGCCTGGAACGTCTTTTATATTAAAGGCCAGAATTTTCAACGCACTTGAGGCTGCACGGATCCATGTCGGCTTCTTGAATGAAGATGTCACGTCAAGCTCCCTAGGAGTCCATGGCCACAAATGTAAGCTCTGGGCGGTCCTTCTTCAAAAAGGGAATATCGCTGGACACCTCACTAAATTGTATGACTGAATTTCCCCGCTCCTGATTACGCGTCAGCGAATGCAAGGCGTGTCCTTTTCAAAGCGGGGCTCTCGCCAAAACTGCTGGTCCAATCGTGCTGGCATGTCACGGAGTGAGCTTCTTGCAGCGAGGAGGAAGACTTGCAGGGGCGTGTGAGGAACGGACTTGGGACGGGAGGGTGCCTTGCAGCATCGACTATGCATCTTTGGCTTACCGTGGCGCTCGTCCTCCTCCTCCTCCTCCTCCTCCTCCTGAGTGCCTGAAAACCTGATGACGGGAATGGCATCCTGACGCAGCCATCCCGCCCCCCAGGACCGGTCTGCCCGATCAGACTAGGAGCCTGGCGACTGCTGGAGCATTCGCTCCAGAAGTCTTCGGCTGGTGGGATCTGCACTTTAAAGGCGGGATTCGACAATGACAGATAAGAGAGGGAGGAGAGAAAGAGAGAGAGAGAGGGAGAGAGGAACGGGGGAACATAAAAACCTCGAGAGGGAGATGAGGAGTAGGATGACAAGAGGATCCTTCTCCTCGCGAGCAGAGGTGCTCCGTCGGCGGAGGCGACCCCTCCTTTCAGAGGTGGTGCCAGCCTGGAGGCTTCCGACACTGCTGGCCCCTCTGGGTCCTGGCTGATCCTTCGGTGAAAACTCATGGGAGCTTCCCATACAATCGAAACAGACAAAGATGGGCAGCCTTCCCAAGGGTACCCTTGTATCCGTGACTCGTTTGTCCAGCCTTGGCTACTTTCGATGGCCCGCCGCGCTCGAAAAAGCTTCAACACGGGACTCCAAGGGGCTTGCATCCTTGCCGAGCATCCTTACTATCAGCTTTGACTGTACCATCTTGCTTGCTCTTGCGGATCGACGCTGGTCGACGCTAATCGACGCCGAATCGACGCCAGTCGACACTAATCGACACTAACCGACGCTGCATCGACGCCGTCTCATCGATCCCCCGACGCTAATCAACGCGAGTGAACTCTAAAGACGGAGTTACGAGGGTATATAAGGCCCAGTGACTTGCTCTACTAAGCACTTTTGCTTCGCAACCCTCTCGGGGACGCACTGACCCGGGTCAATCCAAACCCTGGTCAGTGGCTTTACATCGAATCATTGAAATATACCTCGATGTGTCCATCTTGATCCCCGCAGCTCAATTTGATAAAAATCGTCAAGCCCTCAGGGACTCTGGACAAGCAGCCCTTGTTCAGCACAACGCTGCACCAAAACGTTTGAACACATGAAAAGAACAACTTGGCACAATTGTCGCAGCCGGGCGTGCTGAGCACTACAAGATGCAGCATGTGACCCATGCTACGCGGCGCGATGTCCCTTCGCCCTCGTCCAGACCACCTCCTCCTCCTCCTTCCTCCTCCCTTCTTCTTATTATCCTCCTCCTGATTCTCTCCTCCTCATCCTCCTCCTGATCCCGATCATCATCATCATCATCATCATCATCATCATCATCATCATCATCATCATCAGCATCATCATGATCATGATCATGATCATCATCAGCATCATCACCATCATCACCATCATCATCATCATCAGCAGCATCATCTTCATAATCATTACCACCATCACCATCATCTCCACCAGCATCACCATCGTCCTCATCATCATTAGCAATATCATCAGCATCATCATCATCATCACAACAACCACCACCATCATAATCGCCATCGTCCTCATCATCACCATCATCATCAGCAGCAGCATCGTCAACATCCACAGCAGCATAATCGTGGTCATCATCATCGTCATCATAATCATCACCAACATCAAAACTACCAATCAACATCATCATCAGCATCAGCATCATTATCAGCATCATAGTCATCATCACAAAGACCACCACCATCGTAATCGTCAGCATTCTCGTCATCAGCATCATCAGCAGCAGCATCACCATCGTCAGCATCCACAGCAGCATCATAGTCGTCATCATCATCATGGTCGTCGTCCTCATCATCAACATCATCAACATCAATCATCATCACCATTAAAATGGTCATCGCTAGCATCATCAACATCATCATCATCATCACCATCATCATCACCAGCAGCATCAACAATCAACAACATCATCATCATCGGCGTCAGCATCGTCATTACCATCGTCATCATCCGCATCGTCATCGTCATCGTCATCGTCATCGTCATCGCCCATCGTCATCGTCATCGTCATCGTCATCACCACCATCGCTACCACCAGCACAATCGCCATCATCATCATTATCATCATCGTCATCATCATCACCACCTCCATCATCAGCATCAGCATCATCAGCATCATCATATGTGTCACCTTTAGCATTGCCATCTCCAGCATCATCACCATCATCATCATCATCATCACCATCAGCATCGTCATCATCTTCATCATCATCAGCATCATCGTCATTGTCATCGTCATCGTCATCGCCATCGCCATCGCCATCGTCATCGTCATCGGCATCGTCATCACCACCACCACCACTACCACCACTACCACCACCACCAACACCATCGCCATCATCACCACCATCATCATCATCAGTATCATCATCATCACCATCACCATAACAATCACCATCAGCATCATCAACAACAACAACGACAAAATCAGCAGCATCATCACCACCACCGTTATCGTACTAATCCTCCTCGTCCCTCTCTTTCTCCATCCCTCCCTTCTCCCCGTCATGCCTCCTCCCTCCGCCAGCGGGGGACCGCAGACTAAAGGGATATTGCTGTGAACGCACGGGGCGCCTGTCATCCTCCGCCTCCTCCTCCTCCCCCTTCTCTTCGTGCTCCTCCTCCTCTTCGTCCTCCTCCCTCCTCCTTCTCCTCCTTCTCCTCCTTCTCCCACTCCCGACCTGAAACGGCCCCTCAATGCTGCACTTTCTGGGCTGGCTCCGACTGCGCGCCGTCTGAAACGAGAATGAAGAGGACCTGGATGTGGCCCTCAGTGTCCATCTTGACCTCCTGTGGCGGGCGGGTGGCCATGGGAGGGGACCCAACTGGGGGGTGAAGAAAAGGGCCCTGAATTGGGCCCTTCAGGACCCCTTTTGGAGCCAGCAGGGGCCCAAAAAGGGCTCTTTTCTTGCCCCCACATCTACAATGGAAGCCAGTCCACAAGAAACCTTCCACAAGAAACCGAACCCAGAGACCACAGGACGTCCACTGATTTTTGGCGTGGGAACACTACGCTTTCCATAGCAAAACCATAGAAACCAAAGAAACCCAGGGCACCCTGGAGGCGAGCAGGGTGTTTCTTGGCATGAGCCCCCACTGTAAGCCACCCACCATTACCACCCGCCCGCGGCCCTCCGCGGCTGTGGTTGGACAACCGGCGCTCGGGCCGTCCGGAGCTCCTCCCCACCCCCGTGTCCTCCCACCGTTCCCTCGCCCAAGTGCCTGGCCCGCTCGACAGCAGCCGTGCTGTAGCTGATCCTTGGGCCCAGGACAGGCTATTCCCCAAACGTCCTCAGGCATATCCCCAGATACGTTCTGTTCCCGGCCATCCCAGCTGATCCTGGGCCCCAAATAAAGGCACCTCTACTCCCCAGGCATCCCCCCAGATGCGTTCTGACCAAAATTTCGGGGCGAACCCAGCCGCGGAGACGAGGATCTCCCAGGAGCTCCAACGAGGCGAAAACGAGGGAAGGGCAGCCTTAGCGGTACGCCCTTGTGGCTCGGGAAGGAGGGCATATATCCTGGGCCCAAGACCAGCATGGCCAGGATCCGTGCACGTGCATAGTTGGTGCCCTCCGAGCAAGGGGGACTGGACGACTCTTCGCGTCCTTCATGCAGGAAAAGTCAGCATCGCACCGGCAACTCGGATCGAATCGGAATGTGAATCGGGTTGGGCTGCACCTGCACAGAAACGAAATCGAACGGGATCGGCTGCGCCAGGATGCACCACAGCGCCATGCCAAAAATTGGGCCCCATCGGCCATCGGCTCGCCGGAATGGATCGGAATCGACTCGGATCGGGCCGGTCAGAATCGACATCGAGCCGAATCGATTGGATCGACCCGATATCGAATCGAATCGGTCAGATCGATCGAACCGATCGGTGGAAGGCCCCCAGGTGGCTGGGCATCACAGGAGCAGCCGCCAGACTGCGGGCGCAGGACTTCGGAGGCCTGGCGCGCGGCGCCCTGCCCGAGCTGCCGTGGGGAGCGGGAGGGGAGGGGGAGGAGGAGGAGGAGGAGGAGGAGGAGCGACCGTACCATCCGTCAGTCCCTCAGGGGTCCATGGCCTCAAGGCATGCAGTGCAGTGGCCAGGCACTCTGTGCCTGTTTTGTACTGAAGCGCGGCGCCAAGCGCGGCGTGGTTGCAAGTGCGTAGCTTGTTGCAAAAGTGAAATGAAAGGGCGGTCCGCCGCATGGACTCTCCAAGTGAGTGCTCAAGGATGTCGTGCTGCCCACTCGTCCCTAGGCCGATGCGGGCGAGGGGGTCGGGCGAGAGGAAGGCACGGGGCAGGGCAAGGAAGTGCAGGATGCGGGGGCAGACGAAGTATGGCCGAGACGGTCTGGGCAGCCGCTGCATCCTAGCAAACAACTCATGCGCGGGCCGAATGGGAAGCGGCGGCTTGTCCACCATGCACCTGCCAGCGTCTTGTAAACTGCCCAGCGGATCGCGGGGGCTTTCTTGGATAGCACTGTTGCGAGCGACTGCCAGCGCTCGTGGAGATTCGTTGGAATCTGCACTGCGGGCATCGCTGCGCGCAGGCGGCGGGCCAGGGTTTCGGCGAACCTGTCGGGGAAGAGGGAGGCGTGGAGGATCGAGGTGAGCGTCCGCTGAACCCTGGCCCTCCGTTGCTCCTGAACGGCAGCGATCAGTTCGGCTTCTGCTGCTCGCTTAGCTTGCTGCCAAATGGGCAGCGGGATTTTATATGGTGGCGTCGCTCCGCCCAGTGCGTGCCAGTGCTCTACGATTCCGTAGCTCTTCCAAAAGACAGGAGGGACAGTTGCCCGAACTTGGGCCTGGGCCAGGTCCGCGAGGGAAAGTTCTGGATTCAGCTGGTCGTGCGTACGCTGAAGGGCATGAAAGAGAGGCGGCCATCGTGGGAGCGTAACTGTCGCCTCCCGCCAGGCTGAGGCTAGCGGCAGCGTGGTTAGAGCTGAGGGGGGGGGGCGAGTGCGACCACGAGCGAGTGCAGAGGAGGTCGACGAGGCGCCAGGAGTTGGGGGGTGCTCGCAGGATCTTGTGCAACGTGCCACGTCCGCGGCGAAGGAACGCGGTTGGGGGCGGAAAGTACTTGGTGAGATAAGAAAGAAAGGTGTTATAACACAACGCGCAGCCAATATTTGTCGAATGTTGCTTTCCGTTGGAGATCTAGTGTAACGTCGGGGCCTATGAAAACCCCTAGGTAGCGCGCGTTTCCTGCCATCTGTACACGCTGCCATTCGGAAGTAAGTAAACTCGAGAAGCCGGTGTGAGCTTCTGAACATCGGACGTCAGAGGTGCCCATAAGGGGCACAATCACTGTCTTCTGGATCTGAAGCACGAGGCCTGCGAGGTCACCGATGGCCCGAAGGGGGGGGGGGGGGGGAGGGGGGCGAGGCGAGCGAGGACGAGCCCCAGATCGTCTGCGCAGGCCCCGAGCTTGAGGGGGAGGGGGGGGGGGGCGAAAGGGGAAGGGGGGGGGGGGGGGGGGGGGCGAGGCGAGCGAGGACAAGCCCCAGATCGTCTGCGCAAGCTCCGAGCTTGAGGGGGGGGGGAGGGGGGGGAGGGGGGCGGGGGGGGAGGGGGGGGGGGGGGGGAGGAAGGAGAGCGGGACACCAGAAGGTACCGATACTGCTTGAGCCCCCTGCAGGGGCCCTGGAGAGGCCCCCAGAGCCCCCCCCGAGGAGATCTCTGATATGCCCCAATCAGGTGCATCCCGAGAGATCCTCAGCAGGCACATCAAAGAGGCCTCTGGCCCACAACTTGGTCACGGCGGAAGGATGGGCCAAAAGAAACCAAATCAGGGAAGACCAAAAGGTACCGATACCGCTACTCCCCAGACCTCTTCAGGGGTGCGTTCGTCCAAATTTCTGGTTCTGGACCACTGGGACACGCGGCTGGCTGCCGCCCGCGAGGTTCGGCGTGCAGACTGCGCAGAACTCCAGCGGCGGGCCGATGATAGTGGCGAGCGCGTTCCCTTCGCGACGGCAGGGCCGCCGACGCCCGTCGGCGCCGAAGACTCGCGCCGCGGCCATCTGCACGATGTTCAGCACGTCGCGGATGAGCTGCGGCGCGTTTCCATTCGGAGCAAGCGCGCGGATGTCGTCTCCGGCCCAGCCCGATCTGGCTGCCTCCGCGAACTGTTGCGGCTACACTTCTCTCTAACCTTCTGAGCCCGCGCGAAGCCGTCAATTTTGAAGGGGGCGCGCGCTAACTCCTGCTGCGAAACATGGCGCAGCGTCGCCCAGTCGCCGGCGAAGCGATTGACTTCTCCACCAGCTTCGTCGGCGCAGGCCCCGACGGTGCCTGGCTCCGCCCCGCCCATGTCGTACCCCATCTCTTCCTGGAAGAGCAAGCAGCACGTCCGCTCGTTGAGCATGAGCACGGTTCCACGCGCAGGATGCAAGTTCGCCGCGCCTCCGAAACGCCACAGACTGGGCCGCGCCATCGTCCGCATTCGCCAATCCCTGTAGACAAAAGGTCGCGCCCACGAGGGTGCACCAGGCGTGGGGCGATCCAGGAGCTGCTGGCTGCGGCGTCTGGCGCCTCCTGCGCCGCCTGCCAGTCCTGCTTGCTGGCGTCGGTATTTTGTAGTTCCTGCTGTTTTTTTTTGGGCCGCTTGCCGGCGGCGGCGAGGTTGATGCGCGACTGCCAGATTTTGCCGCGCGCGTCTAAGGCGCGGGCGCGCCCGAAGACGCCCACCAAGTCGCCCTCGTCGCCCAGGCCAGACTCCAGCGCGGACTCGACCTCGGCGGCCACCGAGCGCTGGGCCGCGTGGTCAAGCTCCTCGGGCTGTTGCATCACAGCCGGCACCTCCATTGCGCCGCTCGCCTCCTGGTCGCCGGGGCCCTTCAACCCGCGGCTCGAAGGCGGCGATGTGGCGAGCTTCTCTGGCGGCGGCAATGTCTGCGCCCATTCGCTATTCCTCTCCTGCAGCCGCGGCGCCGGCGGGGCCCTCGGCCACGACCTGCCCCGGCGCCGTCTCCAAGGGCACCCCGGCGACGGCATCCACGATGACCGGCGGGGCGACGGGCGCGGTTGCATCGGGGGCCCGCGACGCAGCCAGAGCTTTGTCATGGGTCTTCTGTTAGCGAGGGGGTCTGCTACAGCGACCATTAGCAGGCCATGGCTGTTAACTTTTTGGCCCGCGGAATGAAAACGCAAAAAAAATGACAGACGAAGCGCCTTGAAATGTTCAAAATTCCGCTGAGCACTGATTTTTGCACGGCCTGTTTTGCCATCGGCTGCTTTGCAATATTCAGAATTCCACGGGGCATTGAATTTGTCCAAGCATGTTTTGCCATGGGGCGATGTGTCATCGATTCAAAAGCGGGGAACCGCAGGCGATGCTCATTGGTACAACGCCCAAGGGGTTTCCCAAAAAAACAGCGCACATGTTGGATTTGGCGCGCGGCGTACGCGAGTGAGACAGCAGCCGCTTCTCTAGGGCAGCGCGCGCCTTGAGGGGACACAAGCTTCAACGCGCGAGCGCGCCCACCGCGCAAGCGCAAACGCTACGAGCGACGGGAAAAATCGCCCGCTGCACGGCGATGCGCACACCTTTCGCAACTTTGAAGACGGCGCTGCGTAACCAAAGCGCGCGCGGGCGCGCCAAAATCGAAGCAAACGCGCACGCGCACACGCAACCACACGCACGCGCGCGCACACACGCACACACACGCGCACGCGCACGCAGCGAGCCAAACCTTTGAGTCGCGACGGGTACAAGCTAGAGCAGGGCGCGGCTAACATAATTGACGGCACCGCAAACATTTTTCTCTCTCTCTCTCTCTCTCTCTCTTCTCTCTCTCTCTCTCTCTCTCTATATATATATATATATATATGTATATGTATTTGTATACACAATTTCATGTTTAAATGGAAACAAAGAGAACGGATCGCGGGATATTGCCCAGCAGCCAGCCCGGAAACGCACCCGAACGGGCTCCGCGCCCTTGTCGAATGCCGACGCGCACTTCCGCGCCGCGAAAGGGCTCCCATGCCGCTGGAGCTCCCGCCACCGCCCCCCCTTTCCCATAGTGCAAGGCTTCATCGTCTCAAACGTACGGGTCCGCAAGCGATGTTGCTTTCTGGAGCGCCATACGGATTCCCCACAATATCCGCGCGCATGTTGGGCTTGGAGCTTAACGTGCGGGACATGAGAAACGTGCAGATTGTACAAAGCAGCGCGCGGCCTGGAGAAGCGCGAACTTAACCGCCGCGCAAGCGGGGGGAGCATTGGCCGATGAACGGCCGTGACCCGGCCTCCGTCGGCCTCCTCAGACGGTTCCAAAAAAAACATTTTCAGTTGCGGCACTTACATGTCGACTTTTATATTGTGGACAATGCAGAATTATCCCGCGCGCGCGGGCGCCGGTGACCCGGCCTCCGTCGGCCTCCTTAACGGGCTCCAGAAAAAGTCAGATTTAGTTTCGGGAAGAACATGTAGACTTTTATATTCTGGAGAATGCAAAACTCTCCAGCGCGCGCAAGCGCTGGTGACCCGGCCTCCGTCGGCCTCCTTAAACGGCTCCAGAACAAAAATCAGATTTACTGTCGGGAATAATATGTAGACTTTTATATTCTGGACAATGCAGAATTCCCCACGCGCGCGCGGGTGACCCGGCCTCCGTCGGCCTCCTTGCAGGGCTCCAGAAAAAACATTTTCGAATGCGGTACTTACGTTTCGACTTGTATATTCTGGACATTGCAGAACTATCCTGCGCGCACGAGCGCCGGTGACCCGGCCTCCGTCGGCCTCCGTAAAAAACTCCAGAAGAATTCAAATTTAGTTTCGAGAAAAACATGTCGACTTTTATGTTCTGGACAATGCAGAACTCTCCAGCGCGCGCGGGCGCCGGTGACCCGGCCTCCGTCGGTCTCTTGAAAGGGCCCCAGAAGAATTCAGATTTAGATTTGGGATGTCAATGTCGACTTGTAAATTGTGGACAATGCAGAATTCCCCACGCGCGCGCGCGCCGGTGACCCGGCCTCCGTCGGCCTCCTTAAACGGCTCTTCAACCAGCCAACCTGCCTACCAGCCGGCGCGCCAGCCAACCAACACACTGGACCCAACCATGCAACCAACCGGCGCACGCGGAGCCTCACGTGTACATACTTGTAGATAGGCGAAGATTATCGCGCCCCGCGATGCGCGGTTAACTTCACGCCCCTGCGCCGCCGCCCTGGACAAGGGTGTCTCTCCTGCCCAGGCCGCGACGCGCGAGGCGCGATAATCTTCGCGCCCCCAGGGGTGACCAAGTGCAAAGGCCTTGGGCGGCCACGTGTTTCAGAAATATGAAAACCTACGGATGCAAAGCACAGAATAAGTATGCAGGCGTACAGTGAAGGTCTTGACCTAAGGTGTGACGTAAGGAACTAATGCCCCCACCTCGGCATGCGGATACATGTAGGGGCGACAGCTCCAGCGCGCGCCCCGCAAGGAACGGGGGGGCCAGAGATTGGAGCTGGACCATAACGCAGCCACCGTTCAATTATGTCGAGCCAGTGAGCTCCGAACCGCGTGGCCGAAGGAACGGGGGGGGCTCTCGCGAGGAACTGGACCTCAATGCCCCATGCCTTGGCGCGCGGAACGGGCGAAAGCCCCAGCGCGCGCCCCGCGAAGAACGGGGGGGGCCCAGAGAGGCGCAAGGCTTATGCGCGACCGCCGTCGCATTACGTCGAGCAAGCGCAAGGAACCGAGCCCCTTCGTGGAGCCCCGTTCCTTAGACCGTCCGCCCCGATCGACAAAACGAACCCGCGCGTCCCAAATCGTGAGGAACACCGGGGGGGGGGGGGCTCGCCGCCAAAAAAGCAGCGGAACGCATGCAAACCTAAGGAATGACCGAGCCACTTTTGAAAAGTAAGCGTTCCTGACTCAAGGCGCTCACTGTGCGCGCCTCCGTCGGCCTCCTGAAAGCTTCGCAGTTTTTGGATTTACAAGGCGATCTTCATATTGTGGGCAATCCAGAACTTCCTACGCGCGCCCGCGCCGCGGCGCGCGCACGTGGTGAGTTCTGTATTGTCCACTATAAGAAGGTCACCCTGTAAATTCAAAAACTGAATTGGACTTTTCTGTGAAGCTGTGAGGGGGCCGAGGGAAGCGCGTAGTTCTGTATTGTCCACAATGCTATGCAGAACTACGCGCCTCCGTCGGCCTCCTTACAACTTCGCAAGAAAAAGTCTATTCAGTCTTTGGCTTTACAAAGCGATCTGCTTATGGTGGGCAATCCAGAACTCACCACGCGCGCGCGCGGGGAAACCAAATGTAAAACTGAATTCTCTGGCCCCAAGGACTCGCCGTACAACGGACAAATGCGTTGGACAATGAGCGGGGGACTATATTGCGCAGCTCCAGGTCGCGCGCGCGCGCCCTTGCGCTGTGCGCCGTGGTTTTCTACGCATGTGTCAACGATGTCAGCGTGAAAATCAATGGGGAAACCCTAAGTAAATTTTAATTCTCTGGCTCCAGGAGATGGCCGCACGATTAGCAAATGCGTGGACAACCACAGTGCGCAGCGCAAGGTCGCGCGCGCGTGACCTTGCGCTGCGCGCTATGGCTTCCCACGCATATGTTAACGATGCGAACTCGAAGACCAAATCGGGAATACATAATGTAAGCATTATTTCTCTGGCCCCAACAGATGGCCATACATATGATAATTGCGTGGGAAAGCCAGCGCGCAGCGTAAGGTCGCGCGCGCGCGACGCTTCGCTGCGCACAACGGTTTCCCCCCATAAATGCGTTAACGATGTGGGCGCGAAAACCAAACGATGCGCAATTCGATTCTCGTCCCAACAGATGACCATACAAGTGGAAGCCATAGTGCGCAGCGCAAAGTCGCGCGCGCGCTGCGCACTTTGATTTCTGCGCGTTTGTCGTCGGTGCAAACGCGAAAACCCTAAGGAAAACCCGATTTGAAATGTAGTTCTCTGGCCCCAGTAGATGGCCAGACACTTAACAAATGCGCTGCGCCCAATGGTTTTCCACGAACTGTTAAGTGCATGGCCATCAGCGCACTCTGGCTTTCCTGCGCCGGCTGCTGCGGTTTGCCGTGGCCAACGGATGATCAATAGTGGGCCACGGGTGCAAACGCGAAGAAGATTTCGCCCAAACGGCTAATCACGGGAAAAGAATCCACGGGGGGCGGGCCAGGGGCATCGGGGCCTTGTTTTCGTCCCAAAGAAATCGGGGGGCGGGGGGGGGACCTCCTGCGGTTAACCCGCGACATTCCCGTCTGCGGGGCCCGACGCGTGCGCAAAATTTCCAGCCGGGCCACCGGCCGATCTCGCGAGTACCGGCCGGGTTCGCCGAATAGCCAGGTTACCAACCAAAATCGCTGAATTACCGGCCGGGCGCGCGGAGTTACCAGCCGGGCGAGCGGGAATTCACAGCCAGGCTACCGGCCGGGCGCGTGGAGTTACAGCCGGGCTGCCGGCCAGGCAAAGGGCCGGCCGTCTGCGGCGTTCTGTAGCGGCGCTGAGCTCTGCTACAGAATGTGCTGCAAGGCCAAGCTAAGGGCCGGGCTACCAGCCGGGCTACCGGCCGGGTTGCCGGCCGGGCTGGGAATTAACAGCCGGGCTACCAGCCGGGTTACCAGCCGGGGGGAGCTAACAGCTGGGTTACCGGCCGGGCGCGCAGTTAACAGCCGGGCTAGTCACCGGCCGGGTTCGTAGAATTACAAGCCGGGTTCGTGGAGTTACCGGCAGGGTTGCCCGCCGCGTTCGCGGACTTACTGGCCGGGCTACCGGCCGGTCACCAGCCGACCTATTGGGTGGGCGAGGGGCCAGCCCGCCGGGTACCGGTCAGGATGGGCAGGGCCTGCTTGCCGGGCCAGACCCCAGGCTCGGGGCGACCGGGCTGCGCTGAACACGGGCCGCACGTGGCCTCGGCGCTTTCCCCCCGCGCATAATATTGTGTCCCGCCCTAA